CCTTCCTTCCTTCCTTCCTTCCTTCCTTCCTTCCTTCCTTCCTTTTCCAGTCATGATGAAAAGGGCATCACGTTCTCTAATTTATTATATTTTTACAGCCTCTTCTCTCTCTTAACGATGCACACGTTCTTCTCTTTTCCAAGCCTGTTCATTTCTGAAGTACATCTGCCGAGAAGGCCTTAAACCACTGAAGAAGCCTCCTCCTCCTCATCTCAACTCCTACGCTCGGAAAGTTTCTTGGCTTGGCTGTGAATAGGATCAAGACTAAGTCTCCTTGGGAGTAAAACCAGGCACAGAGATGTGGGAAAGGGGAGCTTGTGAATGGAAAAGATGACGGGGTGGGTCGAGGGTTGGAAAACAGGGAGGAGGGGAGGTAGATCCCTCGTGCTTGTCTTTTGAGCAGGAGATACTCATTTATTAGAAGTATTTTCATTTTCAGCTCTGTGAACAGGAATATCCAAAGGATGTGAAATACCAGAAGTCTGTTGGAGACTTTCTGTTGTAGAGATGACACTTCCAGGAAACTGAGTCAGTCTCCTCCAACTTGACTCCTCCGACTTGACTCCTGGTCACTTCAGGGACTTCAGGGACCCATCCATGCTTTTTTCTTGGCACAATATCAAAGAGGCCCTTGTTTCCTTCTGTAATGTTTCCCCCCCCTCTCTCTGAGATCTCTTAGTGGTCTCCCATCCAAGCACTAAGTAAGTCCAGTCCTGCTTACCTTTGTGGAAATCAGCCAAAGTTGGTAGGTGCTGCCTCAGCTAAAGTCTTCAAGTTGAGCTCCACTTCTGTGGCCAAAAAAAATGGCCATTTTTTTTTCTTGATAGCAATTCAGAAGTGATTTGCCATTAGCGCCTTCTCAGATGTGTTTTCCAACTTCCCAGACAAATCTCTAACTTGGAATTTCCTGGTGGTCCCTCATCCATATATAAATTAGGCCCAGGTCTGCTTAGCTTCTGAAGCCATCTAAGGTCCGCCCTGCGTTGCCCAACTAATCTGGAACAAAGATGTCCTTCCTTCTTATTTCTGGGAAATCTCTTCTGAAAGCCTGTCAACGAGGCTTCTGTTTTTCTACCTCACTCTCACGCTGTGGAATTGCACTGAAGTTTATCGCATCGCTGCCCTGTGACTGCAGATATTCCTCCATCTCTCTCTGCAGCCTCCCTGGCTGTCCGCTCTTCCAAGCTGAAAAAGCTTCACGGAGAACTTCCTTCCTAACCATTTCCCTGGAATAGGAAGCCAGGGAGAAACCCAGGCTGGAAAAGATCCCCCCCCCCCCCCCCCCCCCCCCCCCCCCCCCGCCTGCTCCTTCCTTGGCTGCTGTTTCCTAAAGCGAGTCAAAGAAAATGCCCGCTTTCCTTCGCCTGGGAGAGTTTTGGCGTTTTCTTCACCTTTGAGAACAAATCAGAAAGGGATCCCTTTTTTCTCGGATGATGGAGAAGAAAGAAAACAATGAGAAGGATTTTTTTTAAATGCTTGCATCCATCCATTTGGGGGTCTGTCAGCTCACCTGATGGCAACAATTTCCATGGTTTAATTCTGAGCAGACCCTTGTGATTGAGAGGCAGAGAGAGGTCTGAGGTTGCCAAGTGAAAAATACCCCTCTTGAGTCCTGTCACGGCCGTGTGTGAGGTTTCCACGATGACGGCTTTCGTGGAGTTGTGTTTTCGCTGTGCCTTGATCCTTGTCTTTTTCTTCCTCTATCTCTTAGGGGTTGTTGCCATCAGGGGTTTAGCTTCTATTAATTGCCTTTTATGATAGGATGCTGAAGGTGTTTTTCAAGCTGCTAGGGGCAGGGACGTCTGCAGGAAGGGTCAAAAAAGTCAAGACAGTCTATGGAACTTATACACAATACATCACCCAGCAAGGCAAGTACTCACAGCACAAATTGGTCGGAGTATAAAGAAGGGAGAAGCTAGAAGTCAGATACCTACTTTTCCAAGCATCTTCTCTTCTCTTCTCTTCTCTTCTCTTCTCTTCTCTTCTCTTCTCTTCTCTTC